GGTAGGCTCGTTTCTCCTTCATTTTCAGTCCTCTAGTTCCTGCCATTATTAAGTGAGAAGATGTCACTAATGGTAGTCACAGAAGTACGTTTCAGATCCTTATAAGTTTACAATCTGTGGAGTGGTATTTCAGGCAGCATTTGATTTGGCAGTGCCGTGTAGTGTTCGTTGACGGCCATGTACCTCAGAGGAATTGTCGGTAGATGACAGGAGAGTTCGTCAGGGTGCGCACATAATGATCATCGAATATCCCTCGTGCCCCGGCGGTTGCGGAAAATGTTCGCTGTTTTTCAGACGTTGCCGTCCCTGCGTGCGAGAAAATGGCGCAGCTCCTCTGCTGTTATTGTTTCCTTCGGACGGCGTGATGGTAGGATGTATGCCCAGTCGAGTGCAGCTTTACTCTTATATTGCCAGGGCTTGCAAGTTTATTTGAGCTGAAGTTTGTCATCTTTCTCCTGTGTGAAGTACGTAAAGTGGGAAATATTTTGGTTGCACGAAAGGCCGGATTAGTTGCCAGTAGGTTATTAATGTGGTGTAGAGTGCCTTCGTAGTAAGAATTAATACTGGTCTCTCAATGCGGATGTTTATTTCTGTACATGGTTTTGTTTCAGGTAGGCGTGAATGCAAGCATATGGGATACTTCAGCCGTTATGCAGTTTCGAATCCATCATTACTACGGAGGTAGCAAGACTTTGCCCCGGTAGCTGACATGACCATTGTGCGTGATGGACACAATTCATCAGTCGATGCGGTTGGGATGACCCACAGACTCGTGGTGGCAGCCTCTGTTTTTGTGACTTGCATGTGGAAATTCAGTAGCTGTTGATTTAAATTGGTGTAAGAGCCTATCGCAGTGAACAAGGTAGAAGTAAGTAGCTAGAGTTACAGGTTGCAATGTTGGTTATGTGGCCACCGCACTGCAGTTGCACACTTTAGATTCCTAGTGACCAAGTGGTTTTGAAATTGCGGGTCTGAATGAATTGTGAGGTTGCCTTGAAAGGGTCATAAGCTTACTGATTGTTGCAGTTGTAACCACACTTGGAGGATACAATCAGGATCTTTGGTTAGCGTATGAACTGTAGTGATCTGATAAGAACAGTTCCATTATTTAATAAAACTATTAATAAGGTAGTATATTTGCGTCATATTGCGAATTAGGTTAATATTTTCCGTCAAATCACAATTTTAATAAAATATAAAATATTTAAAATATCATTTCACTTTCCGCGTCGAATGATCGATTTACAAATTGGAACGTCTCTTACGACATGTTTCGGTTATATTTAACCGTCCTCAGGTATAAATTAGATTGGTAAATCTAAAACTCGAATTACAATCATTTACAATGTTATGCAGTTTATTGAAAATGTTATTATCAGATTACTCTTATATATTAGAACGAAGGTATTGTTTTTTATATGGCGTGGTTCATCTGATGTTCAATATTAGTCGGTGATGAGTTGATAGAGACATGACGTGTCTAGCGGAAGACATCTAGAAGTATTACTGTGTCGGGTCGAGGTTTAATACTGAATAGGATGTGCTGAATGGCAACTGCCTTGTGAACTGTATCTCCCCTCTTTTATGCATATATCGTGGAGTAATATTACCAAGAGATGGCAGACCAAGTTATCTGAATATTAGTGTTTCAGAAGAGCAGTTGTGTGTGTGATGGGGAACCAGCTTAGGTGGAGTTGGAGATGTGAAGAACCAGACAGAATGAAGCACCTGGAATGTTTGTGACTTGGATAAGGAAATGCATTATTCAGGTATGTTAGGGAGTAGAGTTTATTTACATTCCATAGATCCTTATTAGGACTAAACTAAAGGATGTTGTTCATTGATGAACTTGCAGGCACTGTAAAGCAACAGACTGGAGACGCTGATGTTGCAGCTGTAACTAAAGGAATTCAGACATTAAAGATCCCAAATAGGACAGGTTGTGGGACTAAAGGAATGAAAACTGTAGTAGAAACCAACTATTTATCAATTTTTCCTGTAGTGATGTTGCTTGGAACACAATTGAAGGTGTGATAGCGCATGTAATATAAACAAAAGTTTTGTTCTCACTGTAGACAGTTTTCCACTCTAAAATGAAAAAGATGTTTCTATCAGAAAGATTCTGATGTGTTTTTATGTTCAGTAAGACAAATATAATAGGAAGCATACTGGCAGTTTTAGTTATGTAATGTGATATCATCGAAGGCCAAGTTGAAGGAAAGCGAGGACTGGGAAGAAGACTGATACAGCTAACCGACGATCTGAAAGAAGGAAAGAAGATGAAGTTCCAGGAATTAAAAAACCAGAGGCAGATCCTTGCCAAGTAGTGGAGATAAAGGGAATTTTAAAGTCAGTAGTCTCTTCTTTGGAACCCATTAAGCATGTGGTCTACCCCAGCAGAAGCATAGAAACAATGGTAAGAGTTTGGCCCCCATTCCGTTGAAATGTTGGAAATCGCTGAGGAGTCTGCACCAGAGACTGATTCTGAGTCAACTGTTAAATCAACTAATGTCCAAGGAGACACAAGGAAGATGTTGCATGATGTTCATGGAGGTGCTACTTTGACAATTATCTCTAACAAAAAAATTGCTAGATTATCACTGGAAAATGTGGAGCAACCACGATCTCAACGATTATCAGATGAAGAAATTATCAGGGTGAGTGCAGTTGCTAGTAGTGATCCAACTGCATGTCTCCGTCTAACTCAACTTCAAACAGAATCAGTTGATAAATTGAATGATTCCCCACCTAAAGTGTCCAATCCTGGTTACTGTGTGAAAATGCATGCAACCTCAAGTGATAACCTACCTTCACTCTGCCTTCAGATGATGGACAGAATCGACAAGACAGAAGAGATCACTAACTGCATGGCGTGATTCTGAATATGTAATTCTAGATCCAACTAACAAGACAGATTTCACATGCTGACAGCGGTTTGAAAATAGTGGGTAGATCTTCACAGTTTGCTGTTATAGAAGTTGGACAAAGATCTGAACATAACACATCTACTGATCTAAAATAATTAATTCTTAAAAAGGAAATTGAAGTGTCTAAAACATACGAAATAATTGGCAACTTTAGTGACTCAAATCCTTCATGTAACACTGCTGTAGTAGGGTTAAGAGACACCTCTTCAGTTCTGGATGATGACTGCAAGAGTTTCTATGGGAATGACAAAGAGACTGATGATGGTGAACCTCCTCTTGAACTGAATGACAGTTCAAGCTCAGATGATGAAAGTCCATCTCTTGGTAACCTATTTATGCATCACTCTGACAAGGTGGGTGCAATAAAAGGGAATATGGGGTCACAGTGTGTCTGAAAATATTTTATTTACTTTTGGTTTTGATGAATGAGAATTTAAATAAACATTCAGTTTATTGATTATAGTATATAAAGTTTATTCTGTAGTTATTCTTTAATATTATATAGAGGTTTTAACATGATCCACTGTGGATGAGCAGATGTTTTTTTCAGATTACCCTGAAAACTGAATGATTTGTTACATCACAGGAATATAGCCTTTCACCACTGTGCGTACGCTGATGGGTCTTCAGGTTATGCTGATCGATGAATGACTTGTTACACAAATCGCAGGAATATGGACGCTGGCCATCATAAATTATGTTCTCTTCTTTTGCTGGACTGTAGCAAACAAATCGAAAGTCTTCAAAGCCTAGAAAATTTTATTCCATTGTGTGCTGATCATGCATTCGCGTTCACTGGGCGTTGACTGTGACGTCACAACATGGCGGATATGTTTCGTCAACTTTAGTCAGTTGTTACAGAACAAGGACTGTATTAGTACAACTGTGAACTGAAGTGAGCCATATCTTGAAGTGTCAGTATTTATTACATCCAACAACCAATCAGATTTCTATTCAGTTACTGCAACAGTATCAGTGCCCGTTGAAAATAAATAATTCTGAATCTTTATTACGCAGTTTTCTGTTCTCAGTCGTCACTTTATCTCTCTTAGGTCAAGTTATTCGGGTTCTGAACTTCATTTTGAAACATTCCTAAGAACTAAATCAGTTTTTACGATGTTTTGAAGATATGTTGCATGTGAAATCTAACAAATACTGAACTTTTCTGCCTTCAAAGACTTTGGACATCCATGGATATTTGTGTAGCTAGCAGCAAAAATGAATTTCTTCTTGGCTTTTACCTGTTGTCTATCTTGTTTAGGTCAGTTTGAATAATATTAAAACTTTTAATGACTTTCATGTAATAAAGACCTTTTGCTACTCTGATAACTCAGAATAATATGATGTTAATTTTCTCACATTAATTTGTATGTTGTTAATACGTAGGAGGCTAAATGTTATGTTTTGTATTTATACAATTTGGTAGAATCAATGCATTGCTTATATACTTACAGGTAGATTTTGATTAAAGTTTGTTATTGTCAACATTGTCAGTGTTGGTAAAATTCATTACAATTTTAGGAGCTAGCCAAGACTTTGGGGACCAAACGTAATGTTGCTGCATTTAAGAGTACATTGCAATCAGGTCTTTTCTCATTGTGATTATGAATTAATGACTGCTGCCTCCATTATAGCATTATTTGTTGCATTTGTAACCACACTTGGAGGATACAATCAGGATCTTTGGTTAGTGTATGAACTGTAGTGATCTGATAAGAACAGTTCAATTATTTAATAAAACTATTAATGATAAACTGTTTGCACAGCTTTATTCAGTCAGACTTTCATGACATTTTTCTGTTTTGACATGTTTCTACTATACCAGGTGATCTTAAGGCAGTAAATACTAAATGTATGATAATTCTTACAACAAAGATAGGATTGACCTGTTCATTTACAGGTTTGGGTCCATTGCATGAGCTTTATATAAACTATGTTTATTTGTCATAAGAGATATTTTGTTTTGAGGTTATGTACATTGTTTTGTATAACAATAAATATTCAAATTATATAAGTTGAAATGTAAACTTATGGTATGTAACATCTAGCTTTCTTGAAGTTAATGACATTTCCAGGTACTAGCATTGTTAAGACTCAAGTAGTTTGGTTTGTAATGTCAAAAAATCTTGCTGTTAAAATGTTATTGCACAGTGTAGAAGACTAGGTTGCTTCTATTATAAACATGTATGTTATGCAGATTGTGTATGTTGTATTGAATTTTTATGCTTATAAATATATCATGTTTCTCTATGTTTCTAGTTTTGTTAGAACTACTGTTGAAACTGTATAACATTTTGTGTAATTATACATAATTCCTTATTTCAGACGTGCAAAGGAAGAATTCAGGCGGATAAATTTTCCTGATCGATATCCAGCTTTTAATGGGAGGAAAAACTTGTACAGTACTCGAGAGCTGCCAGAGGTATGTTTGGTTTAATTTAACAAGTGTAAGCTGTTGCTGCTGGTAATGTTGATGTGGATGTAAAGACATACAACTTGTGATGGAGGCAGTACGTTCCTTTGAGACATTGATCAACTTGTACCAGACTACACAGTGCGACATCCCAGATGACAGCCATCTTCATACTTATCGTTGTGAAAGTCTCAAGTTTTGCCATATCAGAGTTAATTTAAAAAGTTAGTTTCCCTTTGTATCACTGTAACTTTGTCTTCCAGTGTATGTGTTGTAAAATTTATAAGTGTTCAGTTCTGAACATTATGGTACATACAGCTATTGAAAGTGATACTGTGATACTCTGTAGCAAAGAACTAAAGTGTTTTTTTCTTCAGAAAACTGAAAGTCTCATGGTGCATGATGATGAATCTGTTAGGGTTAAAGAGTGTGAGAGTACTATCAAATTCACACCCCAAGTTGATTTTGGATCCCTCTCTACATGCATGAGCAGTGAACGTACACTGGAAATCCCACAGAAATGTATTCAGGCTGTAGATATTGTAATTCAAATCTAAAACTTCTTGAAGATGGTGAAGAGTCAATTGAATAAAAATTTACTTGGATATTATCCATCATCTAGTAAATATAAAACGTAAAACGACGTTTCGGAGATGGGACTCTATCTCCGTCTTCAGGTTCCTACACAGTTGGGCCCACTAGATAGAGCTAATCCCTACCTCCGGACAAAGTAAAAAAGTGAAAGTCCCGGAATAAAAAGGCATTAACACACCATCAATCCGTGGGACATAAAAGAATAGAAGTAGAAATCAAAATTCATTGAACACGATAAAAAAAACCCACAAAAGGTGGGAATAAATACACATGAATATTAATTTGAAACTCGATGCCCAACTTGGATTTCTTCAGAGATGACAGGAATCCAAATAGGAGATAAATCCAAACTAGGCCGGGTGATAGGATTGGCGAGTAGTGCCATGTGTGCAGCCTCCTTGTATTTTCTGTAGATGGTATTGGGTTCTGTTAATAATACTCTGGCTCCTACTGAAAAAGACACTTTTCTGTTTGCCTCAGATGAGGTGTGCCAAGATTTATGGTAATGGATTTTGTTAATGGGTCATGTGGTCAGGCCGCTGAACATTCTCTGGGAAACAAAATACATCAGGCATTGAAAACAGAATATATATGAGGTTTTTATGAAAAACGAGCAATATTTTTTCCATTCTTATCAATTATTGGTATTTGTTCTCTTTTTCATTTTTGTTTGTTATTGTGAGACCATTTTATTTCATAAAAGTTAATTGTGAAAAAGTTCTATCACTTTATTTTTAAATAATCCAGGCCATAAATTTGTTTCCAATGCTGAAATTCATTATCCAGAAGACGGAAATCTTCATACTCACCATTGTGAAAACCTCAAATCATTCTCATTATCATTAGTTTGTACAATTGCTTTAAAATAATTTGGCACCAAAGGGGTTAAGCAGAAATAAGGCATTTTTTTATCAAGAGCTTTGGGTTGGTGGTCCAGATTTCAGCTCTGAATACGGAACTTGGCATGATTTTTTAATTACATTACAGGTTTTCTGCGTAATGTTGTAAATTATTTTTCCTTGTATTGAATTAAAATTATATCATATTGAAAAAAGATTTGAAATAAAAGTTGTAGATGTGTATGGGATATATGTATTACTTGTGTAATGCTCATTTTGAGAAGATTGATAAAGTTTGCAGAGTTGTGTAAAATAAAATAATTTATAGTCATGTACATTTTTAAAAATGGGCCATCTGGTATGTAGAACCCTTCAGTGGAACTGTAAAATCGGTGGACGAGTATGAATATTGAAGTAATCATACTGCAGCACTAAGTTTATTTGTTACATTTATTTCTGATTTAATTGTGATAATTATGTTTTACAGTGACACATAAAGGTTTTCCATCACCACAAAATGTTGTGGATGCCATTCATGAAATCTGCAGACCTCAAGATGACTGTGAGTTGAACTACAATCAGAAGGAGGATTTAAAGAGCTATATCTGTTGTAAGGGTGAGAATAGTTACTGAAAAACCGGGTGATAGGATTGGCGAGTAGTGCCATGTGTGCAGCCTCCTTGTATTTTCTGTAGATGGTATTGGGTTCTGTTAATAATACTCTGGCTCCTACTGAAAAAGACACTTTTCTGTTTGCCTCAGATGAGGTGTGCCAAGATTTATGGTAATGGATTTTGTTAATGGGTCATGTGGTCAGGCCGCTGAACATTCTCTGGGAAACAAAATACATCAGGCATTGAAAACAGAATATATATGAGGTTTTTATGAAAAACGAGCAATATTTTTTCCATTCTTATCAATTATTGGTATTTGTTCTCTTTTTCATTTTTGTTTGTTATTGTGAGACCATTTTATTTCATAAAAGTTAATTGTGAAAAAGTTCTATCACTTTATTTTTAAATAATCCAGGCCATAAATTTGTTTCCAATGCTGAAATTCATTATCCAGAAGACGGAAATCTTCATACTCACCATTGTGAAAACCTCAAATCATTCTCATTATCATTAGTTTGTACAATTGCTTTAAAATAATTTGGCACCAAAGGGGTTAAGCAGAAATAAGGCATTTTTTTATCAAGAGCTTTGGGTTGGTGGTCCAGATTTCAGCTCTGAATACGGAACTTGGCATGATTTTTTAATTACATTACAGGTTTTCTGCGTAATGTTGTAAATTATTTTTCCTTGTATTGAATTAAAATTATATCATATTGAAAAAAGATTTGAAATAAAAGTTGTAGATGTGTATGGGATATATGTATTACTTGTGTAATGCTCATTTTGAGAAGATTGATAAAGTTTGCAGAGTTGTGTAAAATAAAATAATTTATAGTCACGTACATTTTTAAAAATGGGCCATCTGGTATGTAGAACCCTTCAGTGGAACTGTAAAATCGGTGGACGAGTATGAATATTGAAGTAATCATACTGCAGCACTAAGTTTATTTGTTACATTTATTTCTGATTTAATTGTGATAATTATGTTTTACAGTGACACATAAAGGTTTTCCATCACCACAAAATGTTGTGGATGCCATTCATGAAATCTGCAGACCTCAAGATGACTGTGAGTTGAACTACAATCAGAAGGAGGATTTAAAGAGCTATATCTGTTGTAAGGGTGAGAATAGTTACTGAAAAACTGCATTATCCCTTTTAGTACCGAGCCAGTACATGGAACTCTGCCATAAGACTGCGAAGCCATTTTGTTTGAAAAGGAAGACCTGTAGTTAAGAGATATATTTTTCTTTGGAAATGTAGTTTAAACTTTCAAGAGAACTGTGTTCGTATATGAGCTGTTAAAAGCAAGTAAAACTTTCGTTTTGCAAAATACATTTTCACATATAAAATAATGTTCTTCAAAGATGAAAAAGTTATGAACACAATTAATACAAGTTGGTAGGAAACCACAACAAATTCATTGTCAGCATTGTTATTCACAGCAAAAGCATTACAGAGATCAGATGGATAACGCTGTTTAAGGAAATAATTGCTGTTTATTCTGAGAATCATGAAAACCATAAATGCAAATTATAAGAGATATTGATTGTTAAAATGGTGGAACATGTAGTTAACATTGAACTTCAAATACTTAAAGTTATGAATAAAATAATATGGTTGAAAACTCTGTTGATCAGGGACCATTATGTCCCTTTAAAATTCACTTCGTAAGGTTTTCAAATGTGGCCTTTTCAAGTAAGGTGTTTGAACTATGTTGTTTTCTGATCCGGATGGAGAGCTTGCTGGTGAGAGAAATATATCACTGGAGTATGTGCGTGTCATCTGGGTCAACTCCTGAACCAAAACACAAAACCAAATGTAATAACTGTTAAGACTAGAATGGTAAGTGGGTTGTTCCACCTGTCCTGTTACTAGCGTAAACAAAAACAGAATCTTTTTCAAATTGAAAACCAGCATAGAAAATAAGGAAAGGTGAATCTGGTTGTCACAGACATATTCTGTTTCATGACATTGATCAACCTTGTCACTGCTATATACTATATATGTTATAAAAGTTAAGCTGCCCCACAATACGCCATGTAGGCGCCTGAGGGGAGTGGAAATATAGATCCTACTCATTCTTGACCTTGTCACTAGATGGGGTGAGTGGTCGGCATCACACCCTGTCCGCGCTTTACCCCCAGGAAAGGACCGTGGTACACACTGGATAGGAGGAGAGGCTAGAGTAAAAATCCTCTGCCCTCGTCGGGGATCGAACCCCAGTCATCCAGTCCGTAGCCAATCATATAAAAACTGAAATACTCAATAAAGATGTGCTGCTGGATGAAATGGTCATGAAATCCAATGGTTTATATTCCCGTCTTCCCATAACTAAAACAATACTTGCATTGTCCCTGCAATGAAACTGAAATCCAGAAAACCACACAAACCCAAATTGAATAAAATGTAGGATGATACTACAAGGGGAGGCTTAGTTAGGTACCATATATGCCACTACAGAAAGCCAATATGGATTAAAAACATACATGTTGTACAAATTTAAAGATGTCGGGAGCGGCACCAAACATACAAGTGATTCAAACATCTTCCAGTGTCCTCTCACAAACTGTGATGCTACTGCTAAAACCCTTCTGGGGCAGCGATAATTGTGAAATTGCTGACAAATTTTATACGTTCCCATACTTAACTTATATTGTGGTTTACCATACAACAGATATGTATAATACAGACATTTATTCTATTTTATTTATTTAGTGTTCTGTGTGACGACAGGTCCATATGAACAGGATCCTTCCATCCTGGGACCTGTTCATATACGTTCTTGGCAGATGATCCAGAAGGGGTTTGCCATTGCCTTCTTCTGTGTGTGAATGGAGTAATTGTTGGGATGCCACGGAGGAAAACTCCGTGTTGCCTAGACCACTGCCTTGCCCAACACAAGTTATAAATTCGGGCACCGCCGGGAATCGAACCCGAGACCCCAGGATTACAAGGCCAGCGTTCTAACCACTAGACCACCGTGGCGGCTTGCTCAGATCATTCGCTCTTGCATGTTTGTCCTCCTGCTGCTGGCCAGGCTGCGGCATGACCTCATCTCCTATTGGCTCTCAGGCCTTCAACCGATCCTGACCCTACACCCCCACTGATCCATCTTTCTCAAACTAATTTGACATGTGCAGCTTACTCGCCACACTGATGATGGAGGCAGTGATAAACTTCAACCAGACTACGTGGTGCCAAAGCCCAGCCATCTTCATATTCAGTGCCGTGAGAACCTCACAATTTCATCTTTCAGAGCACTATCGTAACAATCAGTTGCCCTAAGACGTCAGCATTACTAACATTCTGTGTAGGATGTGCTGGTCTGCTGTTCTCAACTCAGGGTTAATCTACATCTAAATTGTAAAAAATATGGCACATCTCAATTAAACTCAAACAAAAACCACTATCTAAGGAATGGCCAGGACTAGCAGAATCTGTCCATTAGTTCATTGGCCTCAAATGATTTTATAACGAAAGCAGTGGCACTCTCAGTATCGCAACCAAACCCACTTTCTCCTCTTCTGTTCATTTCAACTATTTTTAGGTTAGGAAGTAAAAGAGAATATGTACATTTGGCAGCACACAGCGTGCAAACATTGCTGGACTTACCATCTCTTCGCCTTCATCTGCCTCTAGGTCAGACGATAGCAACGTGATGACTTCGGGTGTCCTCTGATGACGAGGCTTCACATAGCCCACAAAGACACAGTCATCTGATGAGTTAAGATCCTCATTCGACTGTGATGGCTTATCCTCTTGTTCGCCAATGCTTGCGGGAAGATCCTGCAGGATACTAGAGGGAGACGTATCACTATGCGAACCGCTCGAATTATTGGTATCACTGTCACTTGCCTGGTCTACAGGAAGCGCATTCTACAAGCAAACAACTGTGTGCAGACTTCGTTTCTCTACTTATATGTACCGTCATTGCTCTAAATATTAATTTCTTTAAAAGGATTAAAGAATCAAAAGGATCTGACATCTAATATACGTACTAGCGCGTTGTCTTTTGTCAGAACACGATCTGATTACGTGTGACACAATCAGCAGATGTCCAAGTATATTTATGAATATAACGGTGAGGGAATCTTATGCTTTTGACTGTTACAAAATTTACTGCAGTCCACAGACCAGGAGAAAGTCCCTGCTAGGAATTCGATATACGCGCATGCGCGAAATTTCGCGGTGAGTGACGACCGATCCTAAAAGCATTCGTTCCACAACCAGTGAACGAACAACAGACGACAGGCTTTCATGTGTTCTAATGGGTAGAGATTTAAGATTACCTCACAGTGGCACAGCGATTTAATCCAGAATATTATCGCAACACCCACAAAACACAGTACAGTTGCACTCACTACACGCTACTCTTAACTGCTTGATGTTTTCAGTCTGTGTAGTAGCGTAAAACTCTGACGTATCGCACTTCCCACCAATAGCAGCCCTCTAGTCGACCATGCAGTAAACATTCCCCCCGCACCGCACGACTCCCCCTTGCAGGGATTTTCTCGTCATCTGTGGACAGTACTCTGTCTACATTATTGTTACTAACTCTATGTAGACTTTCCTTATGAATACTCGATTTAAAAATGTCCTTCTCTACCTGTAGACAAACGAGTGTTAATCCATGGGCAATTAAACCACACGGCGAGGGGCATTTAAAATTATTCCCGTCTGTCTTCTACGGATTGTATCCGAACACCTGAACTATTTAATTCCACAAAATGTGTTATTGTACTCGAAGGATGTTCTCTCTTTATTACTTGAAGGATGCCCCGCACAAATTGAACGTTAACTCCCTCATAATGGATGAAAGATAATGAATACTGAACGACTTCAAGCACTCTTCACGTTGCGGGAATCACGGGAACTAAATCAGTTCATTTACAACAATTAAGACAGCATAACAAGTTTTCTATTATTGACACAGCTGCGTATCTTGTCCATTGTTGACAATTATATTCCATATGTTCTATATTAGATTCTTTAGACAGACAAATGACGTCATCAACAATGCCAACAGATATTTGTTTACTCGGCATTGTTGTGGAACACAACAATGTCGAGTAAACAAATATAACGCTTCACAACAAAGAAATAAAAAAATATCAAGTCAGTCGCACTATCACTGCTCCAGAAGGAACACTTCGCATTCTTGAATATTGACTGACAGTTGGCCTAAAACATCTGAAAAGTGAAAGAAGACGTTGTCAAGTATTTGAAGTACAAACTCCAACAACTTCAACAAGGTAAACTGATACGCATTCGATATATTACGATTACGAAAACTATTATGAAAACTGACTTTATGATCGATTATAAGACGAAGATTTGCTAGGGTGGGGCTGGACGTAAAAAGTGGACTGAACAAGAACTGTTGACTTCTGAACAGCGACGTAAAGAACTACAACATCAGACATATTTAAGAAATAAAGAAAAGCGAAAAAAGACTTACATTGATAAACTAGACCATATTAACGACACACGTAGAAAAACAGACGAAGATTTGCAAGGGTGGGATTGGACGTAGAAAGTTGTCTGACCAAAAACAGTTTGCCTCTGAACAGCGACGTAAAAACTCAAACATCAGATATATTTAACAAAT